AGAATGCAATTAAGTGAAAGGATAGAAGATGTCTAGGGAGTAGAAGGAAATAAAAGCAAGACATACAGTAATTGTGAGTAAGATAATATAGGGCCTTGAAGGTGAAAATGAAAACTTGAATTTGTGACTGCATTAAGTAATCTATATAGCTTCATTGTAAATTATGAAGAGTTAATAGTATGAAGTAGCCCATTTGTCCTTAACACTTTCCCAACTGTTTTTTAGGGAGTGTAGATGAAGAGTGAGGAGACAGTAGATAAGTTAATGATGTATATACTGAAATAGTAAAAGCATTTACTTTTTTGAGGCTAAGCATTCTGTCTCAAGGGGTTTGGTAGATGGTGTGACAGGGCTAACATTACAGCAAAAATTCTTCAAACATTTAGAGCGCTACATGTCTGAATTTAAAATCTCATGAAGATAGTGGAAAGAAGAGTCAGCTGCAAATGTGTTCTTTGGCATGTCTCTCAAAGTAAAGAGGTTTTCTTTAGAAACACTGATGTCAGAGTTTCATATTCTATTCTGTCTTGTATTAATTCTAAGGCTAGTAGAATTCTAAGTAATTCTAGTAATTCTAAGGCATTTGGACAATTTATTTCTCCTGTCACTTGATTTTATTTTTTTTTAATCATCTTAGCAATCAGTTGAAGAGCAAGTATGCTTGAAAGAAGATGGTTGACTTTGAGTAGGCTGATGGAAGACTGTTTTACTGATACCTTACTATTTGCAGCTCTTCTTTACAGCTGTGGTGGTAGCACATGACAGCTTTACATTTCTTTAAGGTGGTTAATATTCAGTGGAATATCTTTCTTGTTTCTCTTATGTTTTGGAGAACTGATTCTGCTTTAAGATTAAAATGTTAATGAAGGATGAATAAAATGTTCCTTAAGTCAATTATTCAGAAAAAGCCTTCAGTATAGGTTCTCTCAGAAATTTTGAAATGTATCCATTCTTTGCAGGAACAATTCATTCTCACCAGCTTTCACACCACTTTTATATATCTGTGAATTGAGTCCTTAGCTTCTCTGACTGGGTTGAGTATGTGATCTGGCTTTGTGTAAAGTGATTACTAGTAAGAGCTTCAGGCTCAATGTCAGTCCAAGGATGAAGAAATCCATCACAGAATGCTGTATTTTAATAAAAGGATTTCAGTTACTTGGCAGTATGAAGACATAATAATGCTTGTGACATGCTGTGCTGCATTGCTTTAGGATCAGACTGAACGTTAGAATAATAGCAGCATCGAGAAGAAAGGAAAAATAGGATGTCTGATTTGAGCATCTTTTTCTTCTATTGATCTCTATATTTAGCTTAGTGTATGATATGCCAGGCCCTAGTTATAAAGACCTGTGAAAGAAACTACTTGGATTCCTGGTCTTGCATGTTAGGAATCAAGAAGCATGTGATGCATAAACTTGCATAGAATTGGACCTAAGGAAGATCCACCACAGCATGCTACTCTTAGGCTGCATGATAAAAGCTTGTCTGCACACCCATGAAAGAGCTCAGAGAGGCGATGGCAGGTGAGGGATCCCAAGTCACACCCTGCCTGGCTGCTCCCAGGCTCACCACAGGAGCCATCAGCCCATCAGAGGCCCATCTCTACAAGGCCAGGGGAGCACAGAGTCTGCAAGGCAGATGGGAGCCCAGGTTAAGGACTTGGAGAGAGGGACAGCCTGTCCAGACCCTCCCAGGGCTGTCCCACAAGAGTCATCGGGGTCAATCAGCCAGCCATGAGATCCATTGAGATGAGTCAATGCTGGATCCCGTTTTGGACTGAGGGGAGATGCTGCCTGGGGAATGGCACACAGTATAGGATGCAGGACAAGAGCATTTTGGGATTGCTCAGAATTTAGTACAGGGAAATAGAGGGATATGGGGATTAAAAGGGCTGGATGTGTGTAAATAGCTCCTGACCAGTGCAGACTGTCCTATCTTACCAAATTCCACTTCTGACTCTTTTCCTGGCTGAAGGCCATCTGTTCTGTGTGGCTGTGGCTGTGTGACTGGTGTCTGTGGCCAGTAACAGTAGTCAGACCCTAGGCAGAGGCCCATGTGTCCACGGTGGCAGTGGCTGGAGCGAGTGATGGTCTGGGTGCCGACAACTGGGCGAAACCAAGTGCCAGCCCCCAGCATGGCACCACAGGTCGCAGGAGCTGGGCCCATGAATCTGCAGTTCTGGCTGGATTGAGTGCAGTCAAGTGTGTGAGCACTAGTGAAGAGCCAGATGAACGATCATGTGGGTTCATCTGAGTGCTGAGTGTAGCTGCATTCAACTGTGTGACTAACCATATATATATATATATATATACACACACCCCCTTATGTATGTATTTGTGTGCATGTGCCTGCTGGGGGATATATGCTCAGCCTCACTACTGTTTGGACCAGGGAGCATGTAGCTGTGGCTGCCTCCCCTCTGTCAGGCTACCAGATTAGGTCCTACACCCAAACAGCAGTAATCCATTCCCTAGGATCACGTTTCTCTCCATAAAGGGAGGCTAGATAAGCAGTTCAGGTGTAGATGTTCCAGGTAGTAGCTTAGTTCTTCTGTTTCAGTCTCCTGATAAAACCCCTCCTTTATAAACATCTCTCAGAGCTGGTTGAACTCTTCCATCCTGGTTTCCTAGTTTCTGCTGTAAGATCTACAGTGTCATGTCTTCTCCCACATTTTCTGTTACAGTTCTGCTGGGACAAGTCTTGCCCCATTTGTTCCCATCTGGGGACATCACCTTTCCCCAGGCCCTGACTGAGGAAGTGGGATGTCCTCATAGTCTAGACATAGACTGATAGATCAAAAAATGTCTATAAAGTTAATATTGATTATATAACAGAATCATCTTAGTTTATGGTAGGAAAAATCTTTCAGTTGTTCAGATCTGTTGATTTTGCTTTGTGTAGCAGAGATGCCAGGAAGTGGAGTGTACGAGAAAGAAAGTATTTCCCTTGGTCTGGCAGACAGGGATTCTTTTAGGTAATACTTGCTCTAACATGCAGTAGGTACAAAAGGTCAATATGTAGTCTACTGTTAGTATTCTAGAAATTATTCTTAATGCTTTGAGAAATTGAAAACTGATGCAGAGGAATGCTTAATGATAATGCATTTTTTTTAACTCTTCTGCAGAGTCATTCTGATTGGAATGAACCTTGGAAAGTAAGTAATCCAGCCTTCTGAGAACAGGTCAATACTGAACAAAGACCAAGTTGCTCCAGAATCATCCAGTCAGGTCTTTAAAACCTCAGAGGGTGGAGACCACACAGCTTCTCTGGGAAGCATTTTCCAGTGCTTAATTCTTGGCTATGGGTTGGCTTGGGTTTTTTTCCTCCCCCCCCTTCTCTCCTTAGATCTAGTCAGACAGAACCTTTCCTATTTCAAATTAGGACCATCATCTCATGTTCGCACTACACACTTTGGTAAAGAAGCTGTCCCCATCTCTTCAGTAATGTCCTCAGAGATACTGCACAGCTGCTCTTTGGCCCTCCTGAAGTCTTCTTGGGGCTGAATAAGCTAAACTCTCAGCATTTCCTCATAGTTACTACAACCCCAGCCATCTTGGTGGCCCTCTGCTGGATCATCCTTCTGCTTTCTTCTTTCCTAATTTTGATGACTAATGAACTTTTCAAACATAGTCCTTGCATATTTGAGAATTATGCTACTAGTTACAGAATTTAATAGTCAAGCTTCTACTCAACAGATACTGTTAACTTAAATTATGAGCCAGATAGCCTTCCACAATTACTTAGATTTCTTTGGAGTTGTTGTTTTGTTCTGTGTTTAAAGATTTGAAGAGTGTATAGAAACCTGACACTTCTTTTAGTTTTAGCACATGGCTAGGGAGTTGCATAGCACAAAATACACATAGTAAACATGGAGCTGTGGCCATCTTCTGTTTCCCTTTTCCCTCTCATCCATATTACCCAAATATGGGAGGTATTTTACATCATCATCTGGGCAGAGGCCATCCTCCTTTCAGTATCGTCACCACCTTTAATTTAAAAACTGTTTCTCATTTCTGTGCCCCTATTTGATTTTGTTTGATGTAAGTTACTGGGACCAAAAATTTTTTTCAATAGAGGTAGTCACTTTAAAAGGTTGTTTTAGTTTCTCACTTTATGCTTTTTATATCTTTCTGTAAATAAGTTCATGAGTATTTCTTTCTGTTTCACTTAAAATTTCTTTCTCTACCATGCCTTCCTTCTTGCTTCAAGGAGAAGAAAGGGGACAGATTGTTTAAGGAGAATCTGGATTTTCTGTTTATAGAGCAGTAAATGTTCTGAAATCAACTGCAGTTGTATATGTTGTAAAATTGCTTTTGTTTGACAGGTTAATAAATCTCAGTTGAAAGTCTGAATGACTAGAGATATTAAAAGCTTCTGTTGCCTCACAAAAACAAATAAACCAAACACCTTTTTGCATTTCTTTATAAATAGAGCAAAAGGCTCAGTACTATTCCAGTTGACTGTGGCTCTTGTTTTATTTGCAACTGCCTTTATGAGTCTTTGGCACAGTTTGGAGATTTTTTTGTGGAGAGCATAAACAAAAATCACCTTAATTGGCAAAAAGTTAAAAACGCCATAGTTCTTCAAGAAGTGCACATGTCCGTGATGCAGACAATGCAGTACCAAACCTTCTGTTGACTTCATAAGCTTTTGCTAGTTTCAATAAGCTTATCTATCTTAGAGAACTTAAATCTGTTTTCAAACCTACATCTATGTTGATCTTCTGGATTCATCTGTTTTGTCACTTTCATGCACGGACACCTGAGACAAATTTACCCTATATTCCAACAGCGAGAACAGTCAACTAGGATATCTTTTGATAAAAGGCTTGTGAAGCAGTATTGTAAAAGTATGTAGAGCTTGGATGTTGATGTCATGATTAATATTAAAAATGGAAAATTGTTAGTTGTTTAGAAACAGATTTTTAGTGGAATGCAGAAGGACACTGGAATGAATAAAAACAAAAATATGTCTTAATTTTTCCTGTGTGCCGTCTTCAGATTCAGCAACACTTTCTGGGATGGAAACAATTGGAGAAAACAATAGGAAAACAGGTACAAATATCAGTGGTACGCTGTATTGTGTCTGATACATAAATTCAGTCATGTCGGAGATACTTTAATACGTAACAGCAGCGTCACATGAAGTGCGGGACATGAATTGCAGCTTATTTTGCTGTATCTGTTAGGAAGTTTAGCAAGGACCTCACCCACTGCATTTTCCAATTAGATATCATTCAGGCAAAGTGTAATTGCATACGTTTGAATTAGATTGAACATTTAATGACAATGAAATATCAGATAATGTAGAACTTAAGACTACTACCTTTCCAAAACATGTTTGATGCTGTGCTGGTGGCACTTTTATGTTGAATCGAAGAACAGTATTAGAAGAACATCCTGGGGGTTTTGTCCTGACAGAGTATCATGGAAGTTGCCTTTTTGTTCTCAGCCCTTCCTGAGTTACTATTCTTGAAGCTTTACTGTATTTGATGTTAGCTTTGTAGATGCATGGGTTTATATCTGTATAGAGATATATGCAGATACATATTTTAAACTATATATGCTACATACATACATATGTATATAGCTAATGTGTTGAATCCAGGAGTCCACTCACAGCGAGGCTGCTACAGCTCCATGGCCCCAAATCCAGCCAGCAGCAAGGCTGAGAACATGTTTCTAGGAGTCACACAAGCACACAGAGTGTATACAGGATGCATGTATACACATACACTTGACAGCCCCACAGCACTCACACAAGCACAGAGAGCACCAACGGCCTCATGCTGTTCCCCTCTCTGGCTGATTAGGATGGAGGTCTGTTAGTGCAATATGTTAGTGCATGCATAGTGCAATAAGGATTCCTCCAGCAGCTGGAATTAGGCACTCAGCTGGCTCTGGATCCCAGTCTCCCTAGTGGTTGGCACATGGAGGCATGAGCCCCAAGGCCACGGGCCCACTCTAGCCCTTGGTGAAGATCCTTCTTCCCTTCCACTTCTTCTCACTCACACCCACACAGTGGATGGTTTAGCCCATCCCATGGTCCTGGATCCTCGCGCTGCCCCCATCACCTCCCACAGAGCGTCTCTCGTGCGCATACAGATGGGTCTCTGGGACAGCCCCAAACCCCATGGTCTCTCCAGCAGCTGGCCATAGCTACCCTATGCCTACCCTGTCCCTCCAGGAGCCAGTGCTGCCTGTTCTCTCTCCTGTAGAGACATGCCTGGCTCCCAGGCGGCTTCACCTACTTGCCAGCTAGTCCGGCATGCTCTTCACTAGCACTCTCATGCACTTGCACACCCACCCTTACTACAGATGCTGCATTGCAGCACGTGGGCAGGTCCCATGGCAGGGCTGGCACTGAGACCTCCATGCACACATGCATGCACAGTAGTAAGCCCTTGCCCAGGAAAAACTGTCAGAAAAAGAGTTTAAATAGAGGAGATAGGGCTCACTGTGCTGGCTGGCATAAGCGTGGCCAGGCATGTCGACTGTTGGCCTCTGTTCACAGCCCTCCAGCCCATTCTGTCCCCCATTCCCACGGGATGCCCTAACCCACAGAGCTTCTCCTGCTGGCACGTCCCTGGGGGTCTGGCCCAGCACAAGGGCTCCTGGAGCGCTCCTTTGGCACCAGGAGTGGCTGGACCAGGGTCCTCCACTGCCCTCGCAGTGTGCAAAGATGAGCATTTCTGTCACATAAACCTGTGTGTGTGTGTATATGTGTGTGCCTATTTGTATATATTTCTAGATATGAAAATGTACAGATCCCTCTCTGTAGAAATGTACTTGGCAATTTTAACTGCTAGTGCTTTTTAGATGCTCTTTGGACTTATTAGTAATGTGAAGTTTAATAACCACAGAAGGTTTGGAAGGAAAAATTGTTATTAATTAAAAACTGTCTACCTAAGCTGTTCTCCTTTTCTCCAAGGAGGATAGTTAAGACTGCATCCAGAACAGGGAGAGAAACTTTTTTAGTTGATAAGAAAGTAGGAGAACATGTGGGAGTGCAGAACCTCAGCTGGCAGCCTGCAGCACTGCCGCTGCTAAGCACAAGAACATCTGATGGGGAAAAGCATTTAGAACGTGGTGAGCAACATCTTTGCTCTCCATCTAGATGCAAGATGCTGGTAATCTGAAGAAGCTCAAAATGACAACTGTCATTTGATTTTGTAAGATTATCTTCCTGTTTCTTTTGGTAACAAAGATATTAAAGTTGATATGGTTGAGATAATAACAGTAGTTGTAGATAGAGTAATTGTTTCTTTCCAGTTTTAACCCATTAGATTCTGATATTCCATTGAACTACTTGCTAAATTACTACTTGTCAATAAGGAGATTTTTCTATGGCTTTGAATCTATAGTTTTATCTGCAGATGCAGGGTCAATAGAGAAAATAGCAATTTTAGTGTCTTTTCTCATGTTGTTTTCCTTGCTAGGACTAGAAATTACAAACTTTTAAAGAATACAAAACAGATGTGTTCAGCTACACCTTCAAGACCTGCAAACCCAGAACATATATCTCCAGGACAGTCTTATGTATGGATGAGAAATTTCAGTCCTCACTCCTTAGACATATTTGCTATCTGATTTATAAATTTTCTCTATTCAATAGAAACTTACTGTATCTTACTACTAGTTAAAATCAATGAGCAAAATTTTTAAATAAAGTAGAAAACACTGCAACTTCTACTCAGAAAAAAAATGGGGGAAAAATTACTTGACATATCTCCTGTATACTGAATCATGGTGTCTGAGATTTTCTTTGCTTCTTCACCTGACAGCCTGTCCTCCTTTTTTTTTTTTTTTTTTTTTTTTTTTTTTTTTTTTTTTTATTTTACCTGGTAGCCAGAACATATCTTTCAGAGGATTGTGTGGCAGTGATACTTTGTCACCTTGACATACCTGCTGCAGTCTGGTTTCCCCAGGGAATCCTTATATACTGTCTGGGAGCTGAAGCTTCCAAGTTATCAGCAAAATGCAGCTCGTAGCACTCAGCTGCCTGTCAATTTATCCAGATTCTTGGCAATACCTGTGGCAGCATCTATTTCTGAACTGATCATGTTGCTGTATTAGAGGTGGTTTCTTTCAGGTCATGTGTTGTGATGGTTAGAACAATGTAAAATCACTCCGCAGTATGCCATGGTGGTCTTACTAATATATAAATACACGTAATTTGATTTTAAAAATAAACAAAGAGGAGTGGCCTGTACATAAGCAGAGACAACTTAGGTTTTTTCCCAAAATAAGTATGTGTTATAAGCAAGTTAACTCTCATTCAGGTGCTTGTTTGTAGTTGACTGCAAGCATTTGTAGAGGATGCAATTTGCCTTTGATTTAACTGTGAAGGAATGTGTTTATATCACTATTGGGGTGACTGAGACACTTCCTAATGGAGTATTTTATATTCTCATCATAGGTTTTCTAATGGTCACTTTGCAATATGTTTTGTCTGTATTTTTTGTACATTTGTCATTCAAACCTTTAAATTTAGAAGTTCTATTACAGTGCCATCTGTCTCTGCACTGATGAGCGTGGCTGCACACTTTTGAACAGGAAAGAAAAGCAAATGGTTTTCATACTCTCAGAAAAAAAGATAATTATGACAGGTGGTGGACACCAAGTTGACCATGAGCCAGCAGTGTGCCATTGCAACGAAGGTGGCTGATGAGGAGGAGGAGTGTTGCTAGCAGGTTGAGGGAGGTGATCCTGCCCCTCTATTCAGTACTGGTGAAGACATACCTGGAGTACTGTGTCCAGTTCAGGGCTCCCCAGTGCGAGAGACATATGGAACTACTTGAAGGAAGTCCAGCAAAGGGCCACAGAGATGATTAAGAGGCTGGAGTGTCTCTCATATGAGGAAAGGCTGATCGAGCTGGGACTTTTTAGCCTGGAGAAGAGAAGGCTCAGAGGGGATCTTATTAATGTATATAAATACCTGAAGGGAGTATGCAAAGACAGAGCCAGTCTCTTTACAGTGGGGTCCAGTGACAGGACCAGAGGCAGTGGACACAAACTGAAACTCACGAGATTCCCTTTGAGCATCAGGAAACACCTGTTTTACCATGAGGATGACCGTGCACTGACACAGGTTGGTGGTGGAGTCTCCCTCCTTCATGGTAGTCCAACACTGTCTGGATATGGTCCAGGGCAACTGGCGGTAGGGGTCCCTGCTTGAGCAGGGTAGTGGACCAGGTGACCTCTAGAGGTCCCTTCCAGCCTCAGTCATCCCAGGATCCTGTGATTCTGTGAGTCCATATGAGATCTATGTAGCATTTGCTTATTTTCTGTGTGAGCGTGTATGTATATTACGTGTGGGCATCTGTAATCCATAACATGGCACAATAACATGGCAGCAAGCTTTAGAGTAACAATTCCAACAGTTACAGAGAAAGGGACACATTTGGTTTCAATGGGAAATCAACCCTCATCCTTTTTCCAAAGACTCACAGAAACTGCTGAAGGTCAGTAAATGCAGAATACTTCAAATCAGTGGATTTGTTAGATAAGTGGTGATTCTTACTTTTAATATAAAATCATTATTGTGTTGGATGAGCAAGTAGTTTTCACTTAAGCATATGGCCTGTTGCAGTGGTTTGAGGACTTTGCCCATGAGAGGTCGTTTTACAGGCAGATAAGTGGTAGTTTTCCTTTTAAATTAGTCTGCCATCTGTCAGCTTTATACCCTGTTGACATCTGGATATTATTTCTGATTGAAATATATAGATGAGAGGGTTTTAAGTAAAAACTATATTAATAAAAAGCTGACGAGAACCCAGATAATGATAAACTTGTTTCTTTGAGAAACTAAGTACCCCAAAAAAGTTACTCGTGGCAGAAATTGTGTGACAAGCATAGTTAGTAGTTGCTGATACCATGGCTGGTATTCCCAAACTGATGTTAGTGTTAAGCCAGCGTCATGGCTGTATTAGTTACTAATCTGATATATATTAAAGTGGATAGGAATTAGTTCTGCAAAGAGATTATCTGTATAGAGATCATATATACATCATGTATTTATACACATGCATGCATACACAGAGTTAACTAAACAT